CCGCGCCGGGAGGCGGGGCACTGGCCTGGGAGGGAGGGGCCGCGCCCGCGAGCTCCGTGCCACGTCCTCCCCCTCCTCCGCCTCCCATTGGTCGACTCAAAATCTCGCGAGTCCGCAGGCTCGGCTCCCCGCCCCCTGGCCCGGGTGCCGAGGCAACCGCACCTGTTTGGCCCCGCCCCCGGAGGGCGGCTCGCGGAAGTGCTGCGGTTAGAAGGGCGGGAACTGAGAGTTGGGTGCGAGGAGGTCGCCGTGCCGGCGCGCGCGTCCGCACCCGCCAGCGGCCCAGTTAACCACCCAGCTCCCCAGGACCCGTCCTCCTCCCCCCGTCGGTGCGGAGCCCCGGAAGCGGGGGGAGTGGCCCCTGTCCTTCTCCCCGCGCCCTGTCGCACCCCTGCCCTGACATCCCTCTCTCTCCCCCAAACCTTCATCTGCACTGGGAAAGGGAGAGGCGGAAAGAGGTGGTGGAGGAAGCGAAGCGGCGTCCAGGCCGGTGGTGACTGGCCAGAGAGAGGGCGCTGCCCGCCCCCAGGCCCGAGGGGCCGGGAACTGCCGGGAAAGAGGGGACCTTCCTATAGAAGGGAGGACGGAAAAGAGGAAGTAGGGGCCCTCCAGCCCCTTAAGTTTTGAGGAAGTGAAATCGGAAATTCCCTTTGTGGGGTGGAGGGGAAATGTGGGGCAACAGCGAAATCTTGTGGGAAGTTAGGGGGAATCAAAAGCCCAAAAACTTCCGCCCTCCTCTGGGCAGTCAGGCCGCCTCTTACTCCCACCCCTGTGTCCCCTCCTTACCTGTTCCCGGCTGTTCCATCAGGCTCATTCCCCAGCCATCCTCTCTGGCCACACACAGGCCCCCTCGGCTGTCCAGGCTGAAGAGAATCTTCAGTGGGTGATGTCAGAGCTTGGGGAAAAGTGATTGTTATGTAACCAGCTTCAGGGTACCAAAATGTGGGAGGCTGGGCCCCTGGGGTGGGGGGCTCCTGGGCAGATCTAATGCACCCCTGGGAGCTTGGGGGGCCACACTCAACTTGCCGATTGTGGGAGATGTGGGAACCTGGCGGGCTGAGGTCTCTGAGCGCAGGAGGCAGCTGACAGGCTCAGAGGACAGAGCCAAGAGCCCAAATCTGAACCAACTGACTAAGGAGCGGGAGTCGAGTGGAGAGGGCTAGAGGGAGGTTTGGTCGCCCACCCTGTAGGATCAAACCTTGGTGCCTTGTGGGGGAATAAATCACATCACATTGCCTCCCTCCAACCCTTCCTGCCGGTGGGAGAGCAGACAAGTCACCCAGCCCTGCGGTGGCGCGTCCCAGACTTACTGCTTGTGTTCATAATGCCACTAGTGTCCTTTTCATCGAGCCACGGGTCTTTTTGGCATTTTCCCCAAAAGAGGATATGGAGAGTCCTGGGCAGGGCCCTCCCGGCTGCTGTGTGCCAGCTGGTGACCCTGAGCCTGGGCTGGCCCAGTGCAGACTTCCTGGGCCAACCTTGGAAGCTAAAGGACTCCCTACGCTACTGCGCTTCGTGGGGTCCACCCCGGACATGTGACTTCTAGACTGTTCCCGGGAAGGGCCGGGGGCTAGGGATCCTGAAAGAGGTGTTTGTTCGATGGCCTGAATGAAGCTTGGCCATTCTCAGCTCCACGACACTGACACGCAGTGGTTTCATGTGTCCCCAGAGCCCTGGGGGGTGCTGGGAAACCCAGCCCTATAAAGTTGAACAAAATGTTCCTGGGTTATTTATAAGTTAAACCAGCCCCTGGTTAGACATGGCCACTGGCCGTCTGTGAGGAGCCCACAGGATGGGAAGAGGGAGCTCTCCTCTGGGAGGCTCCGTGGCAGGAAGTCGTTTCCCAGTGGCACCCCGAGTGGCGCCCCGGGGCCTGGGAGCTTCCTTCCCTAGTAATGCCCCCCATTGCAAAATGCCCTTTTCTTTTTGTTTTTTTGGGTTAGGGGAGTTTTCCGTTGGCTGGGAAAGTAGTGTAAAATGTGACCGGGCCCTTTCACTTTTGGTTTTTCCTCTTTCACTTTCCATCTCTGCTGGCTCCCTGGTGAATGACTGAGGAAGGATTCGACTGTTCTAGTCCCAAAGTGATGCCCAGGGTTTTCTTCTTGGGGACAGCTGTGAGCAAGGACAAAGGGGTCAGCTGCTGTCCCTCAGAGCCATCTGCTCAGTCCCATAAAACCTGTTCTTGAGAAGTGACTACAGACCCCTGAAGTCAAAAGAAAAATAAAAAATGGAGGTGTGTGTGGTTTTTGTGTTTTTTTTTTCCCTCTAAACACGGCAGAAGAAACTTGCTGGGAAAATGCAAAAACACAAAGGTTTGTCCCTGGGGTGAGGAGTGACTCCTTTCTGTGGAGAAAGTTTGCATAGGAGCACACTTGGCTGATCTTGTTGTCTCAGAGAGTAGATCTGGCCAGCAGGTCAGTTTTGCCAAAACCAGTCAAGCAGAGGGAGGACTCCCTTTATTTATTTATTTATTTTTAAATTATTACAAAAGTTTATTTTTACATCATTTTGCACATTTCTTTTTTTCCATTTCGAATGTAATCCCCGCGGGTTTCCCATCACCAAATCACCCGTGTGCCACCACCATAAGGACTCCCTTTATTTAAAAAAAAAAAAAGATCTATTTATGTATGCACAGAACTGGGGTACAGGCCAGAGGTGCAGGGGTGAGAGGATTCCCCAGAGACAGAGTGGGGAGCAGAGAAGGCAGTTCCACTGAGATACACTGCTGAGGGGGCAGCGGGGAGACAGGAGAGATGCTTTGTCACTCGGCACACAACACTTGTGCCTTGTCTGGGTGGTGCATCCTAATGTCCCTGCCCTCTCAGCAGCCAAGAGCACACATCAGGGGCGGGGAGGCGGCTGCCCGAGTGACCACAGTCCCAGCTGCTCCCTCCTCACGGCCCTCTACACACGTCCTTCTGCTCCCTTGGCTCAGCCTCCGCCCTGGTGCCCGTGGCTGGGGCCTGCCCTGAGCCTCCCCCTGGGCCTGGCAGGCTGGGGGCTGGAGTGGGCTTCTGGCCCCGGGGCTGCCAATCTCAACCACCCAGGCACAGAGCCCGGCCCCTCACGCCCATCCCCCACAGGGTCAGACCTAACACCTCCCTCCTCCTGCCCCCACATGGGTCCCCACACAGGTGGCTCTGAGCTGGCTGCCTGCTCACCTCCTCTGCCCACCCTCAGTCTCTCACTTCCCGTTCGCTGGAACATTGCTGACCTGAAGCACAGTCCGGGAACGTGGAACATCAGAAAGGGACTGGAAGCGGGAAGGATGAGAGGCCCACGCCCGCCCCGCTCTCTTTCAGAAGGATGCGCTGGGGCTTCCCCAGATCAGGAATGCTGGGGTCTCTTGGCGGGGGCCCAGCTGCTCCTCCCCCTCACCCAGCCGGACGCTCTAGGCCCTGCCCTCCACCTCTGCTAATCTGGTAGTCAGAAGTCCACAGACCCCCCACGGCACACAGGTCAAGTGCTGGGTGGGAGAGAGTGGGCTCACCCCTGGGGCAGAGCGAGTTCGGGGCACTGAGGCCTCACGTAGGTAGTCTGAGGGGCTGATGGCCTGAGCTGACGCCACTCTCTGAGAGCAGAGTCCTCTCCAGCCTGGCATGGAGGAAGGAAGCTGGAGACTCAGATCGCAAGAAGGATCCATGGGCCCTTGTTGACTTGAAGGTGAAAGGGCCTAGTGGGAGGGACTGTGGTGGCCTGGAGGAGCAGAGAGACACCTGCTGACCACCAGCGCGGCAATGGGACCGGAGTCCTACAGCCTCGAGGACCCGAATCCGCGAGCCCTGCCCACCAGTGGGAGGGACCAGGCCAGCGCCCAGGGCCCAGAGACCACCCCGGCCCCAGGTTTCAGCATCCTGACCGGATCCCTGAGCCTCTGGCCAGCAAGCCAAGCCACTGAGGTTGTGGCCACTTCTGGGGATGGAGGGTGCCGAGCGTGACAGCGTCGTCCTGTCAGTGGTACTGGCAGCCATTTACCCTGCGCAGAGGAGACAGAGGGAAACCAGAGTGGGCGTGGAGTCGGGGCCTGAACGCGGCGCAGAGGGCAGGGCTGACAACGTGGTTGCCACATACACGCCACGTACTACAGCACACACGCCACAAACACACACCCCACACGCAGGTTCTCAGCGCCAGGCGATTTGCTCCCCGGGGGGCATCAACCATGTCTGGGGACATTCTCTGTGGGTACAACTTGGGGTGCTGTCGGCAGCTAGTAGTGCAGGATGCTGCTCATCACCCCACAATGCCCAGGGCAGCCAGTCAACAGAGAACCTCGGTGCCGGCCGCCAGCAGGGCAGAGGCCGCCAGCACCCTGGCGGACTTTGTGCAGGGCCCTGGCAGCAGCGGGCACGAGCCTGCTCAGGTTCAAAGCCGAGTGGCCGCGTGATCTCTAGTGAGACCCAAGGTCAGTGGCCCAGCTGCCTGAGGGGACGCGGACACTCCCACCCGGATCCCGCGGCTCGATGGATAGGGCGCCAGGACAGCGGCGTCAGCAGCAGCGTCAGCCGCCTTGGAGGGCAGGCAAGGTCCACAGTCTCTCCGACACCCCGGGGCTGGGGCAGACCCACGTCCATTTCCATGTTAGCCCGATTTCACATCCTGGACACAGCTGACCTTTCCATCGGAGGGAGGAAGCGGGAGGTGGAGGAAGGACATTCTACAACATGCCTGGCCAGCA